GAAGATTTTAAAAATATGGTGACAATAGGTAAAGTGACGATTGGTTGGGATATATGTAGAGCATATATTAGTTATGATATAAGATATTTTAAATTTTTAGGCTTCAATCACAAAACTAATGATTGTTCTGAGAGTGAAAAGAGTTCCATAAAATGTGACGATAAACATTTGGCAGAAAAATGCACTGCAGAAAAGATCAGCTGTGTGGTATGTTTAAGAGCAAATAATTCGTTAAATTTAAAATTAAATGTTGAACATAGTGTTTTTGATAAGGAATGTCCTTCGTTTCAACGTAAAATTGCTATTGAACAGCGTAAAAATTTTCAGAGGAGTAGTGTTGTAACAACGAAGATATAAAAATGATTTATTTGAATATACAATGGTCAACCGGTAATTTGTCTGTTTTGGAGCACTTAAATAGTCTTCATTATTTTGATGTATTGTTACTCACTGAAACTCACGTAACGGAAGATATTCAAATGAATGAGATTTCATTGAATGGATATGACATATACCAATGCACCTCAAAAACAAGGCACACAGGTGGAGTATCAATATATACTAAAAACTCTATCAAAATTTTAGAGGAAAATAAGTTTGTATAACATAAATAATGACAAATTATGGGTGCTACAAATCAAATTAGAAATGAGTAAAGAAGTGTGGTATTTTTTTATTTTTTTATTTATTTTTTAAAGACTTCAGTGAGATTTTTGCAAATTGGTTGGAAGAAAAAATTGAATCTTCTAATAAGAATATAATTTGCGGAGATTTTAATATAAACTGGTTTGTTGAAAATAATAACATGGTTACAATTAAAAGTATTATTGAGTATGCAATTCAACCATGCAGGTTTACAACAAATTGTCACATTTCCAACAAGAATAACACAATCAACTTCAACACTAATAAACTTTGTATTAATAGGTTGTTCTGATTTCAATAGAGTCAAAATAAATAATAGATTAGATTGCAAGATTGGGGATCATGAAACAGATTTCAAAATAATTTTAAAATATCTGAAGTTAAATCAACCAAAATAAACAGTAATACCTTTGAAATTTTTTTAAGATCCGAATCTTTAAGCTCTATATGCGAATTAGAAGAAGCTAATTTATGCGCAAATATATTTAGACTTAAAATCGAAAAAGCCAGCAATTTGTTTCAAAAAAAGTTTCATGTTCAATTTTATGAACAAGAATGGTTTAATGATGAACTAAGAATTTTAAACAATAAAAAAATTTTGGCGTACCGAAGGGCTACACTCATTAAATGACTCATTAAATTGGAAAACTTATAAAGCAGCTAGAAATTATGACAACACAAAAGTCAAGAGAACTAAAAATTAATTCATTGAGAACAAGTTGAAAAATTGTGCAGGTAATAGTAAAGCAATGTGGAAAACAATTCAGAAATATATAACCAAACCAAACAAAAAAACTGTCATTAAAAGAATCCTATTAAATGATGTAGAAATAAACGAACCGATCAACATTGCAAATGAATTAAATAAATATTTCATCGAGAGCGTTAATGAAATAACAAGAAGCATACCATACACTGGATACTAAAATTTGATTCAGCCTCGTGACACTAAATTCAAATTTAAAGAAATAAATAAAAATGAGTTATTAGAAATATTAAAGGCTATGAATAACAAATTGGACTATCAAGGAATGAGCAAAAAACTAGTGATAGATTGTTTTCATTATTTAAATAAATTAAAATTAAACTTAGATAAAACGAAATGTATGATACTTAATGATAGAACCAACGATGTTGTCAGCATTAAAATAAATAATGAAGAAATTGAAAGTCTTGCAATAATTAAATATTTGGGAGTTCAGATTGACAATAAATTGAGTCTAGATAATCATGCGGAATATATTAGCAGTAAAATCAGTCAAAAAATTGATTATCTTGGAAGAATTAGAAGCAGTCTAACATCGAACTGTGCTCTAACAATATATAACAGAATGATTTTACCACATCTTGATTAATGTTCTTCATTATTATTTTTGCGTAGCGAAACAAAAAAAAGTAGGCTTCAAATTTTGCAAAATAAAGCTGTGCGTATCATTTTACAATGTGGCAGAAGAACAAATATAAACTAAATTTTGGGTCAATTAAAGTGCATGTCAATAAGGCAAAGGCTTAATTTTAACAATTTGGTTTTTGGATTCAAAATGAAAAATAATTTATTACCGAGTTATGTGGGTGATACTATGGGATATAATTTGAGGTCAGCAAACTTATTTTGGCTTCCACTGTTTAGAAGAAATAAAACTCAAAATAATATCTTTTATAAGGGTCTTCAATTGTTCAATGAACTACCTCCAGAAATCCGTAACAAAAATGATGTTTTTAGATTTAAAAGAATTTTGATTACGTATTTAATACACAATGAAATTTAAATTGTTTATTGTTAATGAGCTTTTTAAACCTTAATGAATTTTTTACTCAAATTTAGAAACAGATTATAATGTATATATACATATTAAGTTATGATTTTAAATATTATTGTTTTAAGTAATTTTATATTGATTATAAATATTTATTATATTTTTAATATGCACAGATTTCTTAACAAAATTTTGAAATCAATTATTGAACTGAATTTTTAAATAGTATTTTATACTAATAAAGAAAAAAAAAATATATTGTTCAGTTCCCAGAAGTACTAAATTTTCAAATCTACCAAAGGGAGAATTGTAAAAATTGAACAGCTAAATTAAAAACGTTTACGGGCCAAGGAACGGGGTTTTGGACGACAGCTTTTAAAGAAATTCAAGTAAAAACAAAAGAACCACATGCCGGGAACTGTTTAATTTTAAGATTTTTTCTCTACCTTCATCATATCTAAAAAAAATCTCATGTGATCAGCACATGACCGACTGCAATGTGTATTTCATTATAATTAAGTGAAAGTGTTACGGAATATTATAAAAATGACTGCTAAATACTTCTTTTCAATTTTTAGGGCATTGGTAAGCTTATAGTTAAAATACCTAGAAAAATGTTAATTTTTCTCTTAGAGTATTTGGCTCTTAGTATTTGACTCGCTTTGTGCTACCCGAATTCCCTGAAATGCTCGCCAGTTAGTTTTTGTAACAACCAGAACTCAAATATCAAATTTCAAGAAATTCCATCAATCCATTCCGTAGATATGCTAAAAAATGTAAAATCGGCCCGTAGATCAGTTTTCGAGCCCTGATCTTTCCAAAAAAATGTATATGTTCATTGTTTTAATACGAAAAATTTAAATATTAAATTTCAATGAGATCGGATGATTATTTCTCTTTATATTCGCAAAAATGTATTTTTGGCCCGTAGTAAACGTCCAGTTGCTGACACCTGATTTCTTCCAAAAATTAGGAGGTTTCGCAGACGATCGAGCAAGGATTATATATGAAATTTCAAGTAAATCGGTTGAATATTTTCTTTATGTCAAAAATGTAAAACAGGCCCGCTAAAAAGTGCAGTTCCCGAGGCCTGACAGGTCTCAAAAGTTGATCAATCCGTGCCACCGTCGAAATAATCGTACACATAAAATTTTATCAAAATCGGTTTAGCCGAACTTGAGATACACGCGTGCACACACAGACCGTTTTACACTTCCTTATTATGGAGAAGTGTATTCCCATCGAAAACTCGATATGCAAAATTTTTTATTCAAACATAACCTACCTATTGTATACACAATATGGTCGGTAAAAAATACATTTTTTTCAATTTTGTTGAATAAATAGATTTTACTATTAATTTTCTAAAAAAAAAAATATTATTAAGTTATACATTATGCATGACTTTTAGAATACTCTTGATACTTCAGAAAAAAGATTTCCATATTGAAAACGTGTTATATTGAAAACAGAATGCTGTTCATGTTCCATACATACTGCTGTTTAAGGAACCGTTTTCTGAAGTATGACACGTTTCCCATTGTAAAAAGTTGCGTAGTAAGTTTCGAAATTTAGAAGCGGTAGACACAAAAGCTTCATTTTTTTTTTATAATATGGAACGCAAAGACACAGTATATTGGAATGACAGCAAAAACTGCGCTACGTGTTTCATTTAATAATCTAACAATTTTTTGCTAAACTAATTTCGTTAATAAACATGATTAACAATCGCAATATAGCCAAATTAGTATGAGTAGCGCAGTTAAATTATACATAAACAGATTTAATTTTATAGAATACGTATTAAAAAATATATTGCATATTCAGCACGCTGTTTTTTTTGCAGTATTGCGTCTCACAGTTATTGTTTGGCAGTATTTTTAGTTTATGCTTTAATATGTCTATGAAAATCTCTAGCATGTATTCGGAAATTGCAGTTGTGCTTAAATTCCTAAATAGATTAAGGTTTTTTTAAACCTATGTACTTCAAAAATATTATTAATAAGAATAGAATATATTAAAAATATGTTGGATATTGAAGAGCTACTGGGGTAATATCAGTGTTGCGATGCTGAATATTTTTTATATATCATGGGAATTTGAACAAGTTAAAAAAAGAAAAAATAAGCAAAAAAAATTATTTTGTGAAAACAATTGTTTAACAACTTATTTTAAGACTTATTTTTGTTTTTATTATTTTTCTGGTTTAAAGCACTGAATTTATGTTATGAATTTGAAAATAATATTTAACGTGGGAAAAGTCAATCAAACGAAACAGAATTTCAGATCAAACGAAATTACTACCGCGAATTTATAGGTAATAGCCAAATTCTTATTTTACCGTCGGCAATTTTAACAGCCTTAAACAAATTTGCCTTACTTAAATTTTTGATTAACAAAAATATTAAATTAGGTTATTTCCCACTCACAAAAAAAAAAAAAACTGCTAAGCGTGCTTAACTAAGCACTAAACAAAAAAAAACAATGAAAACATCTTCGGTTCTAATTAAAAAATGTTTTTTGTGCATTTTCTACAAATACTTAAATATTAAATTTCAGAATTTTGTTTATTTTTGAATAAATATTAAAATTAATTACCTCGTTAGAACTTTACGGTTCTTGTTTTTTTTTTTCGAAAAAAATTTCGATCTCTAATACCTAAAATAAAAAAAAATTTTATTTCATTAGACACCATTTTTTTTTATATTATTAAAAAATGTTCACCTCTTTTTTTTAGTTTCCTCTTTTCTTTATTAGTTTATTAATATTAAAAGTTTATTTAAACAAAACTTAGTCTTTTTTTTATTAAACACAAAATCACTTTTACACGGAATATAAAATATTTTTTTTTTAGCTTCTATTCTACTGCACTTTTAATGTTGTTCGGACAACAGCCATTACCAATAATGAAATCACGTAGCTATGGCACAGTACAGCGTATCAATATAATATGAACAGGTAGAATAAAATGAAAATGAAATGAAATTAGCAAAATGTGTAAATGAAAATTATAAAATTGAAATATTAACAGTTATATTATATATTTATCTCTTTCTTACATATATTGTAAAATATTTGTTTCTTTTTAAAGTGTATAATAAAATATTTGTTCTGTTTTTTAATTAAGCTGCTCAATGTTTCATTTCCAATATTTTCAGTTTTTTTCAAATTTTGTTTTAGTATGACCATATTGTTGGAATACAAAGACTTTTAGTGCCAAATTTGGCATAATGGATTTTCTTTTGCATTGAATTATTCTAAAGATTATGCCAAGTGCGTTTTTTGGGATAATAGTTAATGTTTCAAAAAGGTAAAAAAACGTTCTAAATATTTCATTTTTATAAACAGAAAAAAGTTTGATGTTTAATATATTTAAAAAAAGGTAACAGTCAATCAAATGCAGTTGTGATATAATGAGTCGCATACACTTAGTCCGTTCTTGGTCGTTAAGTTGACGTGAAAAAATACCAAAAATATTACCATTTTTTCCAAAAATATTACCGAATATTACATTAATTTATATATAACATAGGAATATTTGAAAACCCAAGATTCAAACAAGAAATATTGAGAAATGTAACATCTTTCAAGACTAAAATACTTAAGATCTTTTTCATAGATAAAGCCATTTTCATACAAAAAATTATCAAAATTTATTTTTCCATTCTCTCATCTTTTGTTCTTTCTTCTCAATAAAATTTGTAAAACGAAATTGTTGTTACAATTGGTTCTAATTTATGTGGATATTGGAGAACCAATAGAAGCTAAAAAGCGCCATATGGGATTTATTTTATAAAGAAATAAAGTTGAGTCAAACCAATGGTTTGTATTGTAACACTTCTCCCTTCAATAAGTAAAAATACTTCTTTTAAATACAGTCTATGTATACCTACCACACCATTGAAATTATTTTCATTCATATGCGAAACCATTTCTAGGATTGCATATATTTAGAATGAACGATTTATCTTTGAAATAGAGCAAAAATTAATATAAAGAGGGATAACATTTTAAGGGTTAATTTTGTGAGTTAAGAAAAATAATTATATTTTGTCATGAAATTTACCGTTAGCTTTTTGCATTTATAGAAATTTGAAAAAGTTGCGGTTTCGCAAATATAAGATGTCAAAAACTCAAATTTTACAAATTTCAAGAAGCGATAACTTCATAGGTGGAGGTGGAAAAAAATTTTCTTCAAACGAAATGAACTATTTATTAGTATCTAACAGATGTAAAAATTTCAGGCTCCTACAACGTAGGGTGTTGAAGAAAAACGTGATCAAAAATTTGAAAAACAAACTGACTTTAGGTAACGGTACATTTTAGCGGCCATTTTGTTTTTTTAAAACTCAAGTATAGTATGCCGCGATAGAGGAAGCCAGCCAATATATTTCTGCGTTTGAAAAATTTAAAAAATGCATATGGTTATACTACAGTAAATAGTTGAAAAATGGCATTTTTAAGGTTTTGGGGGGGTATAACTTTTAGAGAGGGAGAGATAGGTAAAAATTATGTTCTACGAAAAGTAGTTTCTAGTAAAGATCTATGTACGTATAGAGTGTAAAAGTTTTGTAAAGAGGCACACGGACAGACGGACGGACGGATAGAGTGAAATTAATAAGCACTTTTTTCAAAAATTTTTTTGGAAAAGTGCTAAAAAAATTGCAAATGAAAAATTTGATATCATAAGATCATAGGTATGTATTAATTTTTTCTCTTTCATATATTAATGAAATGAGTGATATTAATGTAGTTAATAATAAATTTCATATTTTGTATAATTGTATGTACATATCAATATTAATATAATTAGATATTTCATATTTAAGAGCAATAAACTAATTTAATTACACAAAAAAATAAACAAACATTAATATTCTCTAATTTTCCCTTTTTGCTTGAGTTAGAAATGAATTAATTTATGTAAAGAAAAGCTAAAGAAACTAAAATTGCATGTACATAATATATGTTAAAAATGAACTAATTATTAATGCTCATTTTAGAACATCTTTGATTCGAGTTTATCATAATGTAACACTTTTTTTACTATTTTTTTTAAAGGTGGCATGTATTTGTAGGTTTTTAAAGATAGAGATCCAAACTACCTACATATCTATCCTCGTGTATTCTTTACATTCTAAAGTGTATAATTTATTCCTTACTTTTACCTTATTCAGATTTTATATAATTTCTGCTTTTTTACGTATGTATGATACAATGTATACATAGGGCCCCTAACAAAACTAAGATTTTATGTCAACTTTACTTTTTGAATTTATGTTCAAAAGTAAACTTTTTGAAGAAAAATTGTTCTTCAGTTTTGTCATTCTTTCTCTTTTTAAAGTTTTTTCAAGTTTTATCCGAGACAGACCTATTATAATTTTATTCAATATGCATCTACACAATGCGTACAGATTTTTAATAAGTTTTCAAACTCAAAACTACCACTTACGTACGTTTAATTGAACATTCAACACCATTTAGGCGAATTCGAACGATTTGGGCGAATTCAAAACAATGACATTCGATTGGCGAACTACAATAATTAATAACCACATTAATAAAAATTTATTTTAGAGAGAAAAGGAAAGATAAACTCTTCTCATAGTCTTAAAATCTAGTAACATATATCTATGCTATTGTCGGTCTATTTATTTAATACGTCTATGGCTCGCTCTACGCATGCATATTTAATAAAACAATATGCACAATACATATATATATCTATTCACATATGGGAACATACATTTTTAATAAATTGTAAAAGTCATCTGAAAATTTGTTTTTATTAATTGTCAAGTTTTTTTTTTAAATAAAAAGAAAAAAAAATTTTGATGAAGTTTTCAAACTAAAGAAGTAACTATGTGAAAATACGAAAAAAATAAACATTAGCATTGTAATAAATTTAGCATTGTAAACCTTTTTAAAAACCTAAAAGATATTTTAAATGAGATTTTTGTATTTTTCGTTTAATAACAAAAGTTGAACAGAAAAGTATTTTATAAGTCAATTTTTACCTAGCAGCAACTATAACTCATTTAAATGGCAATCAATTAGAGGAAATTTGGTAGAAAAAACAAAACTAGAAAAGGAAAAAGTAATTTTTTTTTGTTTTATCGTTATTCAATATGTCCAATTTTTCTAAATTTAAAAAATACATGCACACAAAATATATAATAATAAGTAAAATTTCATTATTTTGATCTTTTTATTTTTTTTTTTGCATAGATAAGAAAATTTTAAAAAATGAATTTTCATTATTGTGGAAACTATCTTAATTAGTTTTTATGAATGATATTATTAAGCCCGTTTTGTTAAATGCTTAAATTATTTGTTTTTTCTTTTGTTTTATTGTCAGCAACTTAAAAATAACTAAATTTTCGACATTTTACATACATTCGAGTCATAAAAAAACGAAACAAGAAAATGTAAAATAAGGACAGAACAGAAAACCTTTGATTTGTTTATTTTACACTAAAAATGAATGTTTATTCATATAAATTCAACTGAAGATACAAAAAGTCAGAATAAAATAAAAAAAACAGAAACCAAAATTAATTATAATGGATTTAGTCGATATCGATAAAGTTTTGGATGATCTTGAGCTTGATGAGAATAATGTATTTATAAAAACATTACAAAACTCTGACAAAAATGATTCAGTTTCAAAAAGTATTGATAATATTGAAAATAAAACAATTAATAAAATACCACCCCAAACCTTGAGGGGGGAATCATCCAATTTGAATATAGATAATAATATAAAATTGCAAACCTCCAATGAAATTGATAATGTATTTAATATTGTTCCATCGATATCATCGTCATCATCAACTTCATCTGCAACAACAACAACAACAGTGGGTAATATTTATTTTAGTTCTTCAGGGATAAATCAAAATCGTAAGAGACTCATTTTTTTTCTTATTTTAATTAATTAAACATTCTTCTAAAATATTTTATTTTATACTTTTTTATTTATTTGAAGTTTCAAATCATTTTCTTAATGTCACTGATGGACACCCTATAAATATTTCTACTGATTTTGTAGGTGGACAAAAAACAGAACTGCAGCAGAATGCTAAGTTAGAAAAAGTAGCTGGGATAACAACAAGTTATTCAAATTGGAATTCAATGGATATTATAACAACAGTATGCAGTAATAATTCATTTGATTCTTTATCAAGTACTGAAGGAGAAGGAAGAGGAGGGACTGGTGGTGGTGGTGGTAGTCATAATACTATTACACGTAATACCGTCGGTACAGGTTTCACAGTCAATGAACGATCACGTAAGAATAATGGAAATAATCGTATTATAGCTGTTTCGCAAGTATTTAATAGTTTAGATGAATATCGTAGAGATGTTGAGAGTTTATGTGTTGACATAAATAAAATTAAAACAACTGAGGAAAACTTAAAAAATCATGATCAAAATTCATCAAATAATCAAAATAACATTGGTAAGTCTAATATTTCCATTTTAAAATGTTTATTAATTGTAACTCATAATGAAAATTAATTTCCTGTATTCACTAATTTAAACCGAAATAATTTTTAAATACATTTTGTATACTTTTTTATTTATTTTGTAGATACTAACATTAACAGTGTGCCTCAGTCAAAAAATTTTAAAGCAATAGATCATGAAAAAAAATCCCCGAATGATGCAATTTCTAAATCGGAATCAGAAACTGATATTAAATCTGATATATCCGATTTACAACAAGATGAAACGGAAAAGTTTGCTAGTGAATATTTTCTAGGAAAAATGCTGGAAGATGATGACAGTGTTGACGGTCTTACTTCATCTAGTTCAATAACAACATCGTCTCCTTCATCTTTTTCATCTGGTCCATCTCCGCGTTCACCATCTTCTACTGATTGTATAGTTGAGAATGATTTAAATGAATTGAATGAATATGATGGTGATGGTGATATATCATCAATACAATCAAATAATTTTTATAATAAATCAGAAGAGATTTTACAAAGGAATCCAGCAAAAGATAATTTAGCCTCAATATTGACAGCCAAAAAAAACAAATCTAATGTAAATATTTCTAAAACAACTAGCGCTGAAGAAGATGAAATTTTAGAAGACAGTAATTGTCAAAATAGCATTGACTTAGTTGGTTTATCATCAATATCATCAAGTTTGTATATTGAAAATTCATTCTCATCAATTCAGTCTGAGTTACAAGAGCAAGACGAACAAAGCAAATGCTCAGTAAAATTAAATTCGAATCTATCAAATGTTAAAATAAATAATGCATCACCATCAATTCATAAAGTTAAATTAAAAAATGATAAAATACAAGTTAACGATGATGATGTTATTAGTAATGAATCTAAAGAAGTTGAATTAAATAAAAATTGTGATATAGGTGATAAAATTAAAGATAATAATTTGTACATGAATGAAAATATTATTGAATCATTTTCAAATGATATTGTTAATAAAAAAGATTGTAGTTTGACTGAAGAAAATCAATTGGAAATCAATTCTATTATGCAAAAAAATGATGAGTACAAGGATAATAATTTATCACAAAAACATAATTATAATCTTCCGATTACATTCGGTTCAACAATGGACGAAATTTCAGATACTGAATTAGATAGCATGTTACAAGACATTGACAATGAGTTACAGAATAGTGCATTCAATAAAGGTATGTATGTACATAATTGTTCAAACTATTATGCATCCATTTTTAAATTAATAAAATTGTGTTAGAACCTTTAATGAAGTTCCAGTGCTCTACTTCCAGAAAAAAAAACTATTTGTCATCAATATTAAGAATTGTACCTTATTTATAAGCGTTTAAACAAACTCTGATTGTTTGTTAGAAGAATTAGAATTTTCACAATTAAATCCTACAGAACGAATTTATCTTGTCATGTGTAACAGTTTATTTTTCTTTAATAATAAAAAAAAATTAAATTTTGGTCATGGTAATAGTGCTTTTACACTTAAATATTGTTTGCAATTATGGAACGATTCAAGGTTCCTATCACATATATGAATATTATATTTTATGTTTTTCTTTTTTCTAGAAAAATTAATTCGAAAAAACGAAATAACAGATTCTCAAGAAGCAGGTAATGAACTTTCGTATAAAGAAGAAAATAACGATAAAAAGAATAATGAGTCAAATCTAAAGATTAATGTTTGTTTAAATAATAAAATTAATGCTTCCAAAACAGATATCGAGGATTCATTTGAAACCCCAAAAAATTGTCAAAACAATCCGCCATCATCTTATAAAGATGAATCAAATCATTTAACGCAAGAGTATGACAGTGCTGATGATATCAAAGTTAATTCAAAATCTATTGATGACGATATAAATTTACAAAATGCGGATAGTTTTTCACAAGCTTCAACAATTGAATTCGCTGATTTACAATTACAAAACGACTTAGGTATAAATGATAATGAAATAATTAGCAGTGGTGCTGGACAATATAATGTATATAAAAATAATAACAACAATAATAAAAGTAACAGAATAAACGAAGATAATGATAATAATAATTTAAAATTGAAACAAGAATGTGATAATATAGTAGTAGATTTACTACAAAATTCTATTATTAATGATACCCAGTTGTCAATAATTGAAAAAAATAATATTCAACAAGTAGAATTGGAAAATTCTGAAACTAATGTATCAAAAAAGGATATATTGACGCAAAATTCTCGTAGACCAAGAATATTAAATTTACATATAACAAATTCAACTGGTTTATCGAAAAATTCTCCTACATTAGAATCAACAGTCAGTAGACTTGATGTATTAGATATAGATGGAACGGCTGGACAAACTCCACCAGCATCTGTTATAACAAATTTAAATTCAACTTTATCTAATTTAACACAAGGCATATCACCAACAACAGTATCACCAAGTAAAATTTCAAATCAGTTAGAGAAAAATGAAGAGAATTATAATGATTTAAGCAACATAATAGAAAGTTCAGAAGATATTTTGCAAAATATTTCTTCTGATAACATAAATTTTAAAAATGATAATGAATTGGAATTACCAATAGAACAAGATATGCAAAATTCCACAGCAACAACAACAACACAGATGACAACGAAATCTTCTTTAAAAACACCATCACCATCATCATTATCAAATTCAACGAAAAGAAAAAATCAAATTGGCAAAGTTCCACCATTTTGGATACCAGATTGCGAAGCATCATTTTGTATGCAATGTAAACTAAAATTTTCTTTAATTAAACGTCGTCATCATTGTAGAGCATGTGGGCATGTTTTATGTTCTTTATGTTGTTCTCAAAAAGCAAAACTTAAATTTTTAGGTAATGATAATGAAGTAAGAGTGTGTGTTAGATGTCATTTAATAATAAATAATACTGAAAACAATATTGATGACAGTGGTGATAAGCAATCAAATGATACAATATCAGAATTAGGTGCTGTTGGTGGTGTTATATCAAATGACAATAATGTACAGAATGCAATTAATATTAATGATATAAATGTACAAAGAAATAATTCTGCTAACATTTTAACGAGGTCTCCAAACCCAAATAATCCAATGGAATATTGTTCAACAATTCCACCACATGAACAAGTTAAAAAAAACCGTTTTAATAATAAACCAATATCAGTTATGGTCCCAGTTGGCGTATTAAAACGGGAGGGTACTCTATCAAAGGGTCGAAAAGATAAAAATGTTATATTCAGTGATGGTATACGACCTGGATGTGATTTAGCTGATTTAGATAACAGTTGGTTAGAGAAAAGTGGCGGTGGAGGAAGTAGCAATTTGCAAACTAGTATAAATAAAAAGAGTTTGAACGAAAAAGAATATATACAGCCTGGTAAAATTTTAATTTGTGAAATTTTGTTGCTATTTACAATTACACTAGTTTTCTATTTTAATAATTAAAATTTAAAAAATGTTTTTTTTTTTTTTTATCTTAATATAGCTAATCTACGGATATCACGAAAAATATTACCACAGTGCGATGAAAATAATTCATACATACCGAAAGAAGTGAATGCATTACCACCAATATATGAAAAAATTGCGAAAACATATGAGTATGATTATATTGAAGTTGCTAATAATAACAGTTTAATTGAGCGACTACAAAAGGAGTGTGTAAAATTCGCAGTACAACGTAATTTTTATGTCTATGTTAAAATTGTTAAATGTAAGTATTTTTATTATTAACTATTTTTTTTTAAAAATTATGCTCTATTCAAAAGGCGATAAAACATGTTAAGAATTGTAACATGTTAATAAGTTTTTTTTTTATTTTTTAGTGAAATGCTGCGTTAATAAAACAGTTATAAATTTTACAACAAATGGGATGCATCATGTTGGACAAGATGAAATAATAATTTTATTAGAATATGATAATAGTAATTTAATACCAAAAGACATATTCATTCATTTAAATGAAATATATCGTAATGCTGATAAAGGACATCCAATAACGGAATTAGGATATACAATATCAAATCAACAAAATTTTTTGTGTAATATAGGAACAACGAAAACTGTACAATCAACAACAACAAATGGCGGTTTTTTATATATACGTGCAACATTTCAATGTTTACAAGAAATACAATTACCCGATCCACCATTTCTAATTGGTATTTTGATACATAGATGGGAAATACCATGGGCAAAAATTTTTCCTCTAAGATTAATGCTACGTTTGGGTGCACAATATCGTTATTATCCAAGCCCACATTTGTCAATTAGAGGACGAAATTCAGTTTATGCAGAAATTGCTCAAACATTTATTAATTATTTAGCTGTACGTTTGTCTTCATTTTAAAAAATATTTTTATTGATTGTTACTTCTATTTTTAAAGGATTTTCGGAACTATTCATATACAATACCATTTATTAAAGGAATGTTTATACATATGGAAGATCGTAAAACCAGCGTTTTAATACCAAAAAATCGTCATGATCAAATTTTAAAAGCATTAAATAATTCAAGTGATTACATTTTGGCACTAGGTGGAAATTTTTCGAAATGTGCAGATGGTCATTTAGTTTGTATACAAAATTTAGAATCTGATTGTCCAGACTCACACACATATTCAACACAAGCTATTAATATACAAGGACAACCCCGAAGAGGTAAAATGTATATTTTTTTTAAAATACTCAAAAAACAAAGTGCATGTTGGAAATAAAAACTTATACAAATTATGTTTTTTTATAGTTACTGGTGCTAGTTTCATTGTACTTAATGGAGCTTTAAAAAGTAATAGTGGATTATCTGGTAAATGTAGTATTATTGAAGATGGTTTAATGGTACATATTCTTCCACAAAAAATGCAGTTAATAAATAAAAATTTAAAAAGTATGCAAGATATTGATATAAGATGTGGTCCAATTGATGTTGATGAATCACAAACCGAAACGGTTTCTATACAATGGGTTGATGATGACACTGAATTTAATATGGGGTTAGAAGATTTTGTTTTCAGAATTTTTTTTAAATTTTTAAATTTTTTGTGTTACATTATAGAGTCACTTCACCAATTGATGATAAAAAATTGGATGGTATTTCAAGTATTCGTGTTCATTCTGGTTTAAATTATTCTAATTCAAATTTTATTATACGTTGGACTGAAGTTTTTCTTATTCAGGTAATGACAGAATAAAAATTAATTTATTTTTGATAAATAATTATTTATTTTATATTTATATTTGGTTTTTTTTTTTAGGTTAAAGAGGAGCCTATACCTGGTAAAGTACCGATTGATATTTCAAAAATATCTGAACAAATTGCGAGAAGTGCATCAACTGCATTAGTACCCTTACTAGATTTATTGGAAGCTAGTGGGTGTATTAAAATTGCATTGAGAGTTACGCTTCATCAAGATAATGTATGAAAAAGCAAAAATCAGATAGTTAAGATTAGAAATATAAATATAGTATATACCTATACAAATGTACAGTACCTATTTTCACTCTTTAATTTTAATTAGGTGTCGTAATTATTTTTTCTACCATTTGTATATTAATCTTAATTTTTCTTTTTATTTTCGCTTCAGTGTAAATATATTACATTATGACTATTTGCAGACTAACAATATTTATCAAAATTTAAATTCACTTTTAATATTTTTTGATAGTTTTGAGGATAAATTAGTAAAATAGATGTAGATTTTATTGCTCCAACCACTTTTAACCTTTTTTTTAATCAATTAATTAAAAAGCTAATTTAAAGTTCTGCTGTACCAAGAGTCAAAACTGTACTAATAAAAAAAGTACTTCTTTGAAACGTTAAAAAGCAAAAGTGAAAGTGGTTGGTGCAATAGGGTCCAGCTCGAATTTTTAAATAAAACATCGAGGTCTTAAGTTGGGTTTTGACTTTCAAAAGCTTTATCCTTTTCTTATTCTAATTTTTTTATGTAAATACAAATATATTGTTATGCATCCAAATAAATAAATTTTTTATTCATATTTCAATTATAAATTTTTTTAGGTTTGCTATGAAGCTGGCAGCAAAAATTTTAAATTGGCTCCATTATATATGAATGCATTGGATAATGAATTAATTCCCATACTTCATAAGCAAGCAACTCTGTATGAAATAAATAACCCTATTATACTTGAATTAATATTTCATATACTTTATAAATAACAAAAAAGATAAGAGATTTTTCTTCATATTTTCCAAACAAAATTATATAAAAAAACTAAAAGCAAAAAAAAATTATGTTAATTAGAAACTATTGAAAAATTTTAAAATATCATAGATTATTTTTCAAATTGATGACGGTGTGTGTTATTTAAATTATAATTTTTAAAAAAGTAATTTGAAAATAAATATTGCATATAACTACTATGTATTAAGAAAATCTGTTAATATTAAAAATTCTTATATATATAAATATGTATATAAAAAATAAAAATTTTCCTATACTTAATGTGTAAAAAAAAAGAAAAACCTATAACATTATAAGTATTGTACTATTGATAAAAATAAAAACGCATCGGGATAAAATTTAAACATTATTTTGTAATTAAAGTATTGCTTATTTCTAGTTATTTAGCTTTTTTTAATCATTTTTTAATCACATAAAATGATGATGAATAGCAGAAAATATGCGTGATATTAAATAATGGAAATTCAAATTAAAGAATACAATTAAGTAATATAATACAAATTTAATTGTGTAGTAGTGAGTATATAATGCATGATATAAATTTTGTATGCTACGCTGTTTTGCAATTTATAACAAATTTTTTTTTGCAGTTATATTAATTTCTTAAATTTGAATCTTAGGCGAAGTAAAATACAAAACGTGTTTATTTGTTTACATTTTTGTTCAATTCATAAGCTAAGTCCCCCTGCAGTGTTACACAGACTTTTTATTTATTTGAAGCAAAAAAAACTTTGTTAAAGATGTATAATTTAAAAATACAATTCTACCAAAATCAGTCTTTTTTGGCAAAAATATAAGTTTAATAAAACATATACCCTAGCAGTTTGTATCTTCCATACGATAGATATTCGCACATTTCGCATTGTTTTTGGCCTTACGATTAAATATTTAAAATGTTGAATGGTAAAACATCTTGCATGTGTAATTTTGTTAAATAAATGATGTGACAACTTCATATTTTAGTTTATTATATTATATTAATTGCAAGAAATTAAAGAAAAATAACAAATACAAAATTTTAAGTTTCTTATATAGTTTTGAAAAGTAATAATTTAAAAATACCTATGTACTTATTTGATTTTTTTCATTCTACGTCATTTAACTGGGTATATCTAGCTAATAATTTTTATGTTCAATTGCAATAATAAAAAGTCGCGACACTTTAAAATTTATTAAGGTTCGAATCGTATAAATTAAATTTCATTTAATTATATGAAATATTTCTTTTAAAAAGTTACAAGATATCTTTTGCTTGGGAAAATCGTAATCTTCTTAACAAAATCTGGAATTTTGCAATAAATACATATTTTAAAATAACTTTTATTATACCAAACCTAATTTTCAGTTTATATTGTAAAGAAAGAATGAAATAATTTATAGATTCAGAATAAAATTTTTAAACAAAAATTTAAAAAAAATAAATAAATAAACGAAAGATATTTTCAACAACACTTTTCAAATTCGGTATAAACCAAATGTTACACGTATTACTCGTAGCTCTAGTGTTTCCCTAACTACATTTAAATACCTATATAGTATGCAATTTGTTGCATAATTGATTCCAATTTAATATCTAGTCTATTTTTATCTATCGGACTCGTTGCAATGTTTTAGACTTTTCATTGTTTATTTGAACGTTTTTCAGGTATTGTTATTAGATGTGTTAAATATTTATAAAAATTTTCACAAATGTTATTTACTAATGTTATATTAAATATGTATTTAAAAAATTCAAGGTTAATTTTTTTAATTTTATGAAAATTTATGAAATTTTTGATTTTATTTTCTATAGCGATTTTTATAGTTTTTAAACGAATCTGTGAAACTAATGTATGAAGAATATGTATTTTATTTTTGACAAGTTAAATCTAGTTTATTAAAAATTTTCTATTTTTCATCCATAAATTGTGCATGTTTCACATTAATATTAATAAACTTTAATATTTAAATATGTATTTGATAAAATTTATGCACAATTCTCTAACAGAATTATATGGTTATTTTACATTAGATTTGCATTTAGCTTATGTATTTATTGTGAATGTAATATTTTAATCATTACAATATTAATGATTTTAATAAAAATATTAATAAAAATTTGTAAGAAACTATACTATTGAAACAAAAATAAAAAATATTGTAGATATGAATCATTGTATTTTAAATAATCAAAAATATAACTATATACACGTAGATATTTTTATATATGTGTGTATTTTTTTTTCTTTTTTTTAAATATATGTACACTTGCATAAACATTTATGTCTATACTGACAATAAACTATTAAAATAAAATTTAAGAACACATGAAAATCGTGTTTTCATTTATTTTATTTTATAAAAAAACCATTGTGTTTGAATGAAGAAACAATTTATACAAATATAAGAGTATGAAATAATTTTTGTGTTAAGACAAGAAAGCCATTCTGTTTTCTATAATGAACTGTGATTTATTAGGAATAATGGATTCATTAAGAATAATGATTCATTAAGAATAGCGATTCATTAGGAACGAACTTAGGCATGACGTAGCCTTTTAAGTTATGACAAATTCTTTTCGTCAAGATTATGAATCTGCAATGGCAACATAATTTTTCGGAGTGTCTGTATTTTATTTCAATTATCAAATGTTTATTTATTTTTTTGTTGCTGTTTGAGAAAAGAACCTTCATAAAAAAGCACATTTTAAACAATATTTTTTAAAATACCCTTTTGTATAAAAATTGTTCAGTTTTTTTAGTTTTTCAATTTTATTGAAAAGTGTAAAAAAAAAAATTTTAGCACATATAAATCCTTTTCCTTTTATGGTAGCTGTTTTACAGTAAAATAAACTCAAAAAAATTCAAAACTTAAAATTTCGTAAAACAATCTTTAAATTTCTTGTTACGTGTTATCATTCCTTCCTTATGCTTTTGTGGGTTATTTTTATTACGAATGAATATTTAGAGCATGAACGAAATTCATGATGGGGCTGAATGATTCATTAAGAATAATGATTCATTATGAACAACGATTCATTACGAATGTTGATTCATTTTCGTGTTGGTGAAATGAGTATTGATCCATTTTTTTTATAATGCAATTATTTGTTTATTAATTAAAAAAAAAATATCAAAAAGCTAGCTGGTTTTTAAGATTATTTTAAAGTAAATTTCACATCACAACTTTATTTATACGTTTGAAATATAGAAAAAAATATTCCACTTTGCCACAAGTTATATTTAGTATTGAAAAATTAAAGCAGCATTTCAATTTTTTTTTCTAAAAATTTTGAATACATTAGACTTTTATTCATTTCATTTTTTTATTACATTTTTCAAGTTCATTTTGGTAAATATTAAATTTTTTTTTAAATAAAATAATTATAATTATATATAATATTAATAATATTATAATTAAATTAGTGTAAATTTAAATTCAAATTAATTTGAATCATCATCGTTATCTTGATGCTGTACTTGATAATATCCATATCGTAACTTTTGATCTTCAAAATAATCAATTCTGGACATTTTTATAGCTTTCTGTATCATTTCATTTTCAGTTAATTGTCCTAAGCCTAAAAATAATAAAAAAAATCAAATTATTATGATTTGAATAAAAAAATAATCAATGAAATTTTTTTCTGTCTTAAGTTTTCATATCAAAAAAGCTTTTCATTACCGTCATCTGTATATGATGATTCGATTAGAGATTTATAAAATGATGATATTGATTTTTCTTCAGTTCCATTTGGTTTTGATGTGCTCGGTTGTTTCGCAATAAATTCATTTTTTTGATGCTGCTGCTGTTGTAGCTGTTGTTGTTGTATTCCACCTAATTAAGAATATACAAAGCTTATTAAAATAGAAATAGTAATTTGTTATATTTTCTGTACTAAATTACGCAGAATTAGTTTTAGTTTATAATGCATTTAAATTTTATTTACAAAAAAAAGTTTTAAAATACTGTAATAATTTTTGCTTTCCAAATTTTTATAAAACATGCTTTAAATAACTAATTCTGTTAAATCAAAGTAGTTTCTTAAATATTAAAATTAATTTCAATAAATGAAAATATGCATGATTTAGTTTTATGGTCTGTTTTTTTATATGTACAACAAAAATATTTACATATTTTAAATATTTTCGACTGTGTTTCATCAATTTTGATCTTTTTTGAAGGGCTGCTGCTTTGCGTATTATTTCCAGAAGTTATTTTATATTGATTAGTTGACCTTAAAATAATAATAAAAAAACATATATGAAAATAATTAATTTTATTTATTTTGGAGTTTAAACAACGTCTCGCTAATTTCGTGCAAATGATTTTGCAATTTTAAAATTTCATGAACAACAAAAAAAGATCTACAATCCAAAAAATTTTAAATTTAATGTAATCATATTATTTTATGAAAATATAAGCAAGTTTAAAAACTACGAAACAGCGAAAATTTATTCAAAAATCCAATTGAATTTAGTTCAAAAATTAATTTTTTTTTTAAACAATATTTACCACATGTTTTCTCTGAATTTTCTTTTTAATTTTCTCATCTTTTTTCTTTCACTTCCATTTTCTGTCATTCTATTGTTTTTAAAATTATTCTTTTTCGAATTTATATAAAGCATTTCTGAGTTAGGATCAATTGAACTTGTACTACTCATATCAGTATCATCACTATCACAATGTTCACCTGCTGAATTATCTACTTGAGAATTATTTTCAAATAAATTGTTTTCAGTCAATAATACATTACTGTTATTATCATTATTATTATAGTTATTATTATGTTTATTATGTTTGCATTGACTAATAAATAACGAATTACAGCAATTGTCATTTAAATTAAGTTCATGTTCAAAAGTTTTTATCATATAATTTTGATTACTTGTTGTTGCTACTTTGTTTAAATGACTTTTATTACAACTTTTTAAATTACTTTGATTATCCTTATTATCATCCTTATTAATATCATTGTTACCATTGTTTATATTGTTATTACTATTAATATTCTTATTATTATTTATAAATATATTATTACAGTTAATATTGTTTTGACTAATTTTAATACTATCAATGACATTATCACCTTCATCAAAAATAATATTATCATTCTTATTATCATTATTTTTGTTATTTTTTATAATATTAACATCTTTGATGTTGATGTTATCATTATTATCATTTTTAATATTATTGTTACGGTTATTATTACGATCATCATTATAATTATTATTATTATCATTACTTATGTCACTAACTATATTATTATTATCATTATTATGATTATTATCACTATTATTATTTTTATAATTATTTTTTGAGGCTGTTGTAGTTTTAACTGATGTAATATAACAAGATTCGGTAAATGTAATTGCAGATGTAGATTGGTTTTTTAGTTGCTGTTTAATAAATGTACTTTTAAATGCTTCAGCTGATGTAATTGTTGAATTAGTTGATGTGCTAGATATTGAACTAGCAGTACAAGATGTTGTTGATGTATTATCTTCGGTTATTGTTGAGTTATTAATTTTATTATTGTTGTTATTATTATGTTTATCATTTTTATTATTTCGATTCCTTACAATATTTTCCCGACACCATTGCAAATATGATTCGCGGGCAACCTGTTCTTGTAATGCTTCGTTAGTTGCTTCCCAATCCGTTGTTTTTAATTTATCTTCAAACATTGTCTAAAAAAAACAAAAAAAACAAATAAATACTTATAGAAAAATTTTATTTTAAATTTAAAAATCATCTCCAATTATACAACTTTTAAAATTTCTTAAAAAAAAAAAAAAAAAACCAAAAAAAAATTTTTTCGTATGAAAACCTGTTCAATTTCAAATTGTTCGCTTAAACGTATTGCTTCTCGTGTCTGTGATTCAGGTTTATATCCAGCTAAACCTAAACCTACACCTACAGAAGCATTATAAGGATCGATAATAGCATTATAATGTGATCCTCGTTGATATGAAAGCCTTAGTGGATACTGACCATTGCTAATTTGTTCTGAGTTAAATATATTTGTAGGAGCTAAAAAACGAAAAATATTTTATTTTTACAAATTAAATTTTTAATCTTGTGATTGATATTTACTTGTTTGATAACAGTATAATTCAACCGGTCTATTGTATATTTCTGACATAGCTTGTATTTCTATATGATTTCCATGTGAGTCAATATTACGTTTTCTTTTAACATAGTTATTAATGTCTTCAGTAACAAATTGTGCAAAATATTCACTATTTTGATATATATAATCCATTGTTTGTTGTCTTATGAAATCATGCATTTCTTGGTCGCCATATATTTGTAACGATATTGCTCTAAATAAACAAGCACCATCTTCTTCCACATCTTTAATAATAAGACCACGATTTTCCATTGCTTTTCCAAATTGTTCATCACGTTTTACCCATTCATCAACTGTTAATGAATTTTCTTTGGACACTAACCATTCATCACCACTATTGTAACCATTTAATGTATCTTCCAATTGTTTAATTAGTATATTATTATCGTTATTATTATTACAGTGGTTATTATTATTATTATTGTTATTATTATTATTATTTTTGTTATTATTATTATTATTATTAATGTTATTATTTGATATTGTACTTGATCTTGGTGATAATTGACATTTTGATGTTACAATAGATTGTCCATTTACAACTGATTGTTGCACAATTAAATTTGAATTATTTGTTGTATTATTATTTAAATTATTATTAGCATTATTATTTTTTATAATAGTATTTCCACTACTATTATTATTATTATTATTATTATTAATATTGTTGTTATTGGTATTAATGTTATTATTATTGATATTGATATTAAGGTTATTATGTTTAGGTGATTTTGTTATAGAGCATACTGCTGATGTTGATGTTGCATTAAGTCCAGGAGAAAGCGAATGTGGACTCATTCTATCAGCAACATGATGTTGAGCAACCGATATTACTTGATGATTTAAATACTGATGTTGTGTTGTTGTTGGAATATTATTAATATCGATTTTGCGATTATCATTTGAGCGTTTCGTACAGTGATGATGTATATTATGCTCACTATTACGCTTTTGACGCCCTCCACCGCTAAAATAAAATATTATATATTATAGTGTATTTTTACATATTATATTCAAATTTATTGGTATTGCTGTTTAATTATTGTTTACCTTTTGTGAGGACTTCTTCTATGCCTTGATTTGTCATCGAAAACATCATTACGTCTTTGGGGATTCTTTTTTAATAAATTTTTCCGAAGAAACATAAAAAAAATCAAAGTTTTATTTTAAAAATGTAATATAATTGTATATTATATTATAATGCATAAGTACTATCCTATAAAATTTGACTAAAACCAAAAATTATGTATACATAGATTATTCACGTAGAACAAAAATTTTAAAACTATTTTTTTTATTGTCCAGGACGCCTTGAATAAAAAGTCAGAACAAAAGTTAAACTTTTTCTTTCAGCGGTTTTGCTATTCTTGATTTGTGTGGTTCTTTAACTCTTTCCAAGAGTTTGTGCGTTTGTTTATTGTGACAAGTTTTTCATTATTAGTGCGTATAATGCCTTTTAGATCTATATATTGTAATTCCATACATAGATAATATACATGGCATTAGTTAAGCTGGATTCATTGATTCGTCAGTTAAACGACGAGCTGATGTGTTATACATGAACAATTGGATTTTTGACAATTATTTTATTTTTAGTACAGCTTTATTTCTCTTTCTTAAAAAATTGAATTAACTTCAACTTTAGTGCGGAAGTTTTTTTAAGACGTCAAATTTATATACATATACTGAACTTACATATAATTATGTACATATTGCAATTACATATAATTCTTATCAAAAAGGTAATTAATGCATTATAAAAAAAAAAAACGATCAGCTTTTTTCAGACGAACCAATGAACAATCAAGAGAAAAAATAGTTTGATTTTAAATAGCTCAGCTCAAAACCGACGAACCAATGAATCCAGCTTTTGTAATATGAAATGGTAGTACTCGTATGGTAGTATGGCACATCAAATTTTTTGTGTCTCTTTTATATTGTGCAATAAAATGGCCCAATATATGGTACTTATAATAGTTATTATTAAAAGAATAAGTTATTTTAAAATTTACTTGACTGAATTTAAAATAATTGTACCTACATAGTTGTATATTTATGTGCTCTTATTGGTAGAGTTCTCATAATATAAATACAATACAATAGATATGTACATACATATGTGAAGTGTACAATTGTAATCTGTCTATTTATTTTATCATTTTGTTATTGTAACACATATATAGTATAATACATATTATTATTTATTATCAAAGAAAAGAATACCCTGGATCTCTTCTATATTTTGCAAATATAAAAATTTATAAAATTAAAAACAATTTCATAAAGAAAGTAGATATTAAAATATGAAATTTTAATTAAAAATCTTAAAAGATTGCTTCCACAATAATGTCTAGTTTTATTTAAAAACCGAATCTATTATTTAAATATTTAGATAGTTTAAGTAAAAAATTACTTAATATTTTAACTAAGTAAAGTCTTTTCTTACATTTTAAAAGATTGCAATTTTGCAAATAGGGGTTACTGCACATTTAGCCAACTATATTAAATATGTAATGTAAATACTATAAGTATGTACCTATTTATGAATTTTGTAGCTGATATGTTACATATATGTGTATATAATATTTATATTGTAAGTATGTAGATATATACGTACAACAATATACAATTATTTTTTATTTATTTACCTGTGAATAACTTTCAACATTGTTATTTAAATTTCTTAAATTATTTCCATTATTTGATACCTGTTGATCAACTTGGTTATGACCATTTGAATGATCTTTATTTTTTTCATTAGATTTTTGATTAATAACAGGTTTAATGGTCATTTTTTCTTCTATGAATCTTTTGTCCTCTTTGTTTTAAAAAATTTTTTTAATTAAGAATTTTCTAAAATGTACATGTGTACATATGTATATATATGTATGTATGTATATATAATATGACAAATTGACAAATCTTATATTATTCGTATTTATAATATTTATATACATACATAATATATGTATGTATACCTATAATAACATATGCAATAATATTAAATTTATTATATGCTTAACAAAGTTACAATGCATATATCTACATATGTACGTATATACATTATAACATGCAAAATATATGTATTTAATTATATACATATGGTAGGTGTTGGGTAGGTAAAAAAACTTTTTTTAAGGTCCTTGTTACTTTTGATTTTTTTAATATTAAAGTTAAGTTTTTTTTATTCTTATTTTTGTTTCTCTTACACTACAAAAAATAATATTTAAATTAAAATTTCTATTATTTAATTAAATTTCATTTTTTTCAATAACAGTAAAAAATTCTTTTTGTAATATAGTTTTTTTTTTAATTTTCACATTTTGTACATCGTAATAAAAATATGAAAAAAAAGCAAAAACAATTATGCTAAAGTCTATTTTAACTCTTAGTTTTTTTGTTTCTCTTTTTATTTTGTTTTTTTGTTTCTAAATATTCTTCTCAACATGTAAATTTTATTACATGACGACTAAAATAAAAAACAAAAAAGAAAATAGAAAAAATAAAATTACAGTCAGTCAATATCAAAATGGCGTTCAGCAACATAATAAAAGTTTTGATACATAATATGACAAGAAAACAAAAGAAAATTAATGCATTACTTTAGTTGGAATCACTGCTGACGGAAATACAGGCGTGGACCCTAAGAGAGAATGGATAGGTAACAGCTTATGAATTTACACGTATTCTTATGCGATCTATAGAGGGCCCTTTTTAACGTCATAAATCTCACACAAGATCAACTTTTTTCAAACTTTTATTAGAAAAAGTTAAAATTCAATCTTTTTCTACTTTACTAGTTCTTACAATCTTAAAGTTTTGTGTTATTAAAACATTAAAAAATTATTTAGAAAAAAAACCGTGCAAGCTCTGTTCATTTTTTAAAGATTTTAATAAATGCTACACTACAAGAAAAAAAATAGTGCAAATTTGTTTTTTCGAAGTATTTAGTTGATGTTTTTTTTTCAAATTTGAGGAAATCTACATTTATAACTCCAAAATGCATACTTCTAATATAATCACATATATATCTACATATATATTTTTCATGTGTATACTACATTAATTTAGGTATGTATGTGATTATAGTTTTATAAGGAATTATTTTCACATTGTTAGTAAGGCTAATTCGCTAAATTACCTAAACTACCGCATCAGAAACTTTAGAACTTATACAATTTTCTTTATAATTTTTTAATTATGTTTGTTATATAGGGGACAACTTGAGGCGACGCACCTATTATAACGATTATAAAATTTGAAAAGCACTTTCATAATTATAAAACTTAAAATCAAATTATTACAAACTTAAATTAAAATCTAATAAAATTTTGATTAACTTTATTTTAAGTCGTGTATTCAGATTAAAAAATATAGCACCAAATTTGTTTTTATTCACTGTATCATTTTTTGCTCTCAATTCTCTCAGATATACATATGTCTGACCTGGCGGTACAAAAATATGCGGAAAAAGTCGAAAATATATTTAATCAAAATTATAGTTAAAATTTTGAGTTGGAATTTGATATGTAGTTCAGAAAACTTCAAATTTCATGTTAGTATAAAAATTTTTAGGTTTTAGTCAAGTTTTCGTATAACTCAAAATAAAAATAGACAAAAATCATAATTTTTCAAAAAAAAACAACAAAAAAAATGAGTCTTCAGAAATGTCATTTCGCCAAAACTACATAATGCAATTTTACAAATGTATTCACAAAAAAAGCAGGCCTTGATTTTTTGTAATTTAAAGGTTAGAATACATTACAAAACATAGTAACAGCACTTTTGGGATACTTAGCATAAATTTCATATCAAACTTGCCAATAGTGGATTAAAAATACTAAAGGAGGGAGCATGTCGCTTACACTTTTTAAAAAATTGTATCTTGCAAAAAAACGTAATGAAGCCAAAAACTTCGGGTAAGTCACTTTCTTTGCTCCTAGCATTGTCAAACTGGAGTTAACATTAAATGTCAAATTTCGTTTTTTTTTTTTAGAAAATTATGCGCCGCTATATAAAAAGTAAGCAGGAAAGAGTTTGTTACTTTATTTATAAAATTAGTGCAGATTGTAAATAAAAAATCATAAAATATTTAATAGTAAGTGTTAAAAAAAGTATTATATTATAAAAACTTTCATAATTTATGAATTATTTCATAAAAAATATAAAAAGTGAAAGAAAGAAAAAAATCGGTTGAAAATGAAAAAGTTGTGTAGATCTAAATTGTTGTTCCCATTTGTAAAAACAAGTTGTTGTTTTTTTACACCATATACATGTAAATATTATTCATTTCAATAAATATTTGTTTAATAGTGCATTGATTAATTCATTATTTGTAATTTTATTAAGTTTTTAATTTTGCAAAGAAAACATTTATTTTTGTTTTGTTTTAAATAAAAATTACTTCGGATAGCATAATTTTACCAGGACCGGATTTTTTTTAAGCAAAATGAGTTTGCGTTTGATAAAATATAGCATACAGACAAATATTTTAAATTGATCTTTTATACTTTTTTATATAATTGTCAGAAATGATGAAACAGTTTTCCTAGAAATGATGAAATAAAATATATTTCTCTTTATAGAGTGAAGATTTGGTCACTAAAAAAGTGTATGAAGACGTGCCGATGCCGGTGAATTCAGTAAGTAAAATAAAATATTAGTGTGAATTATTTAATAAATATTACGGTGGGCTCGTCACCTACCTAGTAAGTTCAATGAAGGGGCGAAGTAGGAATACAAAAAAATTTTTAAAAAATATATTGTTTTAGAATAAATTACATACCATCTACTTTAGTGAGTAATAACCATCATATTAATTAAAATTTGTTAAAAATTATACTGTTTTAGAGTCATTATGTTAGGTTAGGTTGTCGCAGCCCCCGAAGCATACACATATGCCAATTAGGCCCGTTGTGGTATTGTCGCATCTCTTTTCCCTCGCCCCTCTTCCGAACTAACGGGAGCTTCTTAAAAATAGGCTCAAACCCCCAACGCTTAAGTCTGCTAAGCCCGCAGCGAGGCCGAAATTTCTGCCTTCTCTCCTTCGTCGCAGCAGCTCCTACAAAGGTCGTTTACGGGGTGGCTCATTCTCCTCGCATGTTCGCCAATAAGACAATGGCCCATCAGAACCCCTACTACAGGCGTATCGGCGGAGCTTTATTTGGTATCTTGTATCTCCTGCTGAAAATAAGTAGTTCCGTTTTTTGCGGGTTGATCGTCAGCCCGCAGTCGGCAACCTACTCAGAAACTAGGCTCAGGACTCTCTGCATGAGCTTATTTAGGGCATGAAGGTGCTTCCAAGACACAGCCACCGTCAAGTCGTCAGCGTAAACTATCACCTTGTAGCCGTCCTACTCCATGCATACCAGTAATTGATTAATCACCAAGCTCCAGAGGAGAGGAAAAAGTACACCTCCTTGAGGGGTGCCCCCGCTAACGGGGCGCTCAATGCATGAGCCCGCAAAGCTAGCCCTGATGGTTCTGCCTGAAAGCATATTGCCTATTAGAGCGCTCAGAGAGCCATGAACTGAAATTCCGGGCAGCGCCCGAGTGATACCCCGCGACCCAACATTGTTGAATGCACCCTTAAAATCTAAGAAGGCAGCTATTGTATGCTCTCTGCAGTCTAGAGATCTTTCAATATAGTGTACCAAAGAGCAGTTTCCGTTCCTGCCCTTACGATACGTAAGGTAGCAACATTCCATAGCACCGTAGCAACATTTCATGTTTTTGGAATGTAGGTTAAGTCCATACAGCACTCATAGATGATCTTAAGCCAAGGAAGGATGACCTCCGCTGTACTTCTGCCGGTACTATGTCTTAGACCCGCCGACTTGAATGTATCAAAACTGCGAATGACCCAGAGGATTCCCCTTATCAATGACCAGCGCCCCCGCACAAAACTCACCAAAATGACTAGCCAGAGCACGCTCCTCTCCAACCTCAGGAAAGTGTGCATCCAGCAGCAGCTCCAATGAGACTCCGAGGCGGAGTTCAAGAATTGCCAGTACCTATCAAGTAATGTGGCACGACTGGGTCACTTGCCAAAACTCTTCCAAGTCTGGAGGCCTCGGAAGTCTCCCCAATCCTGCTGCGAAAGTCCTTCCAGGAAGACCTTTGAGCCCTCTTCAATTCCTTCTTGTACTTCCTGAGGTCATCCTTGTAAGCGCAACAATCAAATGGTATTCTGGTGAACTTCGCTCTGCTAAATTGAGTTCTGCATATTTTACGGATGGCGTTTAACCCTTCGGACCACCATTGTGGTTTCCTTTTGCCTCTTATGTGAGTTAAAGGACACGGTCCCTAGAGCCACAATTTATGGTCCCAGTGAGTGTGCAGACCAAACTTTTAAGGTCACCAGGCGCTCTAGGACGCAAAGGGACCCGGCCCCCAGGAGATCACTTAACGAATCTCGGAACCTCGCCTAATCAGCCCGCTTGCGGTTTCTAAAAGTTAAGGGAGAATTCTGCAGAGCAAAGAATTCAAATTCTATATAGTGATGGCCCGAAAAAGAATGCTCTTGCTTTCTGATTTGTAATAAAAGGAATACTTTCCGATTTATAACCAAGCCAGCAATAATTTGTGAGGCAATGGTTATATCTATAACCTCTTGTCTATTTTTAGTAACGAAAGTGGGCTCTAAGCCTCTTTTACATAATGTGAGGTTAGTACTCAAGATAAAATCAAAAAGTGACTCACCTCTCGTGTTGGTATCCCAGCTCCCCCAGATGAAGTGATGTGCGTTGGCATCGCTCGCAATAATGAGACTGTATCTTCTCTACCAGGTACCTGAGATTACTGGATTGAAACATCCTCTGGAAATTATGGGTCAGGTATACTGAGGCCCATTAGGAGATCCTGTCACCAACTGACTGCCATCAAGACTGACTGCAGTCCAATCTTCATTGCTGTAAAGAGGCTACAGAAAAGCATTTAAATTATTTTTAATTAATATGCACGATTTTACCTTCCCACCGCTGTCGCTATAGAACAGCCTGTAGTTTACAGTCCTGAGCCCTCGAATCCTCTCTACGCAAGCTAAGGTTGCTGGACCCTGACTTTGTCATCTTCGCCCTTTTGTAGACGGAGAAGAAGCGCATCTGATGTCTCTTTAGAGTGGTGGAGATTGATCTGGATTATTCGAAGCATTACTGCTTTCGTTAACCTCCACCAACGTTTTTTCTGCATCGTCATTCAAGTCCAGGTCCAATGGGGCACCCTTCAGATCAAGATGCATAACATCTTCGCCTGTTAGATCCGCCCATCTAGTAATTCTGCTTCTGATGAAAGCGATGTCTGGACAGACGACTTATGTTCGTCGGCC